AACTTGAGTTTCTCAGGTTTGAACTAGGCCTCACAAGCTACTTGATAAATCTTAAGCTATTAGAAAGGCCACATATATATCATTTAAATATTGTTTTCAACACGTTCCTCACACGTAAGTGGGTTAGTTTGTTTCCATTAAAACCTATTGCATGCACAATTTATTTGAATGGCTGGTGGCATACTTGACATATGCCTCATCTGATACCATGTTGAACTAGTTAATCTAAAAGTTTAAGCTATTAGATAAAACTAAATCTTCAACACTCAAAGAATGTTCGTATAGACTATAGTGCAGGAAAATAAACAACAAGAGAGAGAAACCTTGTTGTTCACAATTGTATCATTTAAAGAAGTCAAATTTGCTGTTGTCTCTGACCTTAGAAATATTCTCACAATACGCCGTTTTCTGTGGGAACATTGCTTGTAGAATCATCATTTTTCCTTTAATAATCTTGTATGTTATTTTTTAGGATTTCTAAAATCTCCAGTACCTGCCCAGAATCCTCCAGGCTAGCACAAGCTTCAGGAGGAAAGTTCACTTGGTAAATAACTGATCACCAAGAACTAAGACGAACTCGTGATACATATGACTCGAGACTTGGCTAATGAACACGTATTATTGTTTGATTGTAAAGCTTTGAAAGAGACTGGCTGCGAACAGACCTGAATGTGATCGGATTTGGATTGATTGGATGGCTTGCTCCATCCAGCATTCCGGTTATCGGTGGCAACAGTTTGACAGGGCTTTTCTTTGAGAGCATTGGAACTGAACTCCCCCACTTCCCCACTCCTCCTGCCCTCACTTCACAATTCTGGTGAGGAATAGATGCTATAAACCCTAATAAAAATAAAAAGATGAACCATTCTCTCAAATACTGATTTTAGATTTTTGTCGTCACCATTATATGAAAATTATATGTGTTAGTCCATCATCCTGTTCGTGAGGGGAGTGTTAATAATCCAAATACAAATAAGCATGTATCATCTCTGATAGCTTAACTTGGATGGATCAGTCCATATGCATAGCATATTTGTTAATGAAATTTTATGGGAATTCTTTATTTTATCTTTCTCACTTGGATATATATGCATTCTTACTGAATAGGTTGTGGTTGGTCTGCTGGCATTTGGGCCTGTTCCTCCCCCTTACTTTTGGACAAATTGGCTTCAAGGGAAGGACTGAGAATTACTTTTGAAATGGATATCATCTGTATTAAATATGCGTATGATTTGACCTTATTATCTGTTTCTCAAACTTTGTTTCTAGCTATATTCACTCCGTTCAGCAAAAACATAAAATATCTTCGAGCAATATTTTATCTTCGATTTTGCTACATGTACACTTAGTTTGACATTATGGATGATTATCTGATAAAAAGACATAAATATC